GAGAGAGAGAGAGATTTATTGTCTTAATAGTAATGTCTTTCTCAATCACATGTGCGGTGGATATAGATGAAGCGCCCGGCGTTTGGCAGGACTGGCAATGAAATCATTGATGACTCTCTTTCTCTCTCTCTCTCTCTCTCTCTCTCTCTCTCGAATGTAAAATATTTTATTTTACATTATGCTAACTTATAGATAAAAATGTATCTATAATTTTATAACTTATCAGTGATAAGTTATCACAGTATTTTATATTATGTGATAAAAATGAAAATTGTTTATGATTCATTACCCAGAATATTCTGCATTTAATTACATGTGAGATATTGTACTACAATATTTACCCTAAATAATTATAAAACTACTATAAAATAATAATTATATAATTTATATAACATAGTAATTATATACTGTGTAATTAGATTATTAAAACAATTACTTGAAATAAATTTCTAAAATCTTACATTTAAAACAATGTAATTTATAGATATTATTTAACAAATTAACATTAAATTAAATATGATATTCAGATGTAAATTGTAACACAGTATTAATGAAAATAATAATTAATTGATATACTGTAATACATAAAATATTTGCAGGTATAAACATAACAATATACAACAATATCAAATTTATCCAATTGAACATGAGCCAACATTTACCTTCACAAAAAAAAACTCATTTATACATTATTAAAACAAAACACTATTATTGATATTAAGCTAAGAAAACAATACACATTAATTAAAAAGTAAAAATTTATAATTAAAAAATGCTAACTTTTATCAGAAAACACATCGAGTTTAAGCACTGGATGTACTTGGTGGTATCGGTGCTACTGGTGGTGGTGTTTGTCATATATCTAAGCCATGTCTACACCGATGATAAGCCTAACGATGTGTACCACTTGAGCACCAGCACCGACAACAGCAACACCCAATTTACCATAACCAACTTGACAGGTAAACTATACATATAATCAAATCTTATAACTCATTTTCTATTTCCCAGCTACAGGTGCTCAGGGGGCTGAGCAAACAAAACCAACACCTAGTTATTACATCGTTTCAGTCGTGGTAAATCGGGCTCACATTTACCGCATTATTACACAAACTCTCCTCACAAATGAAAGCGATTACAGTATAGACTTTCCCGACTTTGGTCCCGACCACGAGAGCACCGGCGATACCATCACCTCAGTCTATGTGGAGGTGTCGGTGGACAACGAGGTCATGGGTGGTACGCCCAGCCGGTCCGACACGTGGGAACCGGTCTGGGATTATAAGGCGGTCGATGGCGTCAATGTGACCATTAATAGTGTGGTTGAGTTAACCCTATACTACTTTATGGGCCCGATGTCTGAGCAAATTGACCACGTGATTGTGCCCGTACGCCAATTGGTGATCATGGGTTCAAATGGCCGCTCAGAGAGGGGTAGGTTTGTGGGAGGGTGGCTTATATTTACAATTAGCTGGCGAGAAGTTTTTATTAAGTAACTTTATGAAAATATTTTTAAAATAATTGTGGTAATTACTAGTATTGCTTTATTGTGGCTAGATTATAGTTTATAAATTATTTAATATGCATGTTTACACTAACGAAAATATTTTTGACAAATTAAAACTTAAAAAATTTTAATTTTAACAAAATAATTACAATTTTACATGATTAAAATATGCCAGTAGCTTTATGTAGTGTATTTGCTAAACTTTTATAATTTATTTAAACTATTAAAACAGAAATTAAAAATAAAACAACATTTCAAACAATTATAACAATTTTAACCAACAATTGTTACAAAAAACAAATACTTTTAATCAAATGTTTTTAGTGAATTAATATTCATCATTTAACACGGCATAAACAGGTTGATTTCTATCTAGTTTTAGTTGTTTTATATGAGTGTAGGCTTCGATACCAAACGAACCCCGATATAAGCCCTTTTGATTGACCACAAGTGAGTCGTTGTCTATAGTAATGCCATATCTGTTGTGTTGTTTTCCACTCAACAAAAACAGTGTCAATCCGTCCAACGGTTCCGCACTTCTCGGGTCAGTACCGGTGAATTTGTGGACAGCTGTGAAGTCTAGTTCCATATCCTTCACGCTTTTCAATAAACCTTTAATCGATATATTAGTAAAGGGTTTGACATTAATCTCGGTTTTCAATGAAAACAATTGGCGCCGGAAATCGCTGTAAGATTTGTTGGTTTCGGACAACTCTCGGAAACCCGACTTGAATTGGTTCTCAATTTCATAGCCTATATTCCATGAGAATAGACTCAAAAATGCTAATCCAAAACCTGTGCTAAATTTTGTCTGTTTAGTAGTTTCCTTAAATGTTTCAATGCTGTGATGAACTGATATTTGCGTCTTATGTATGGTTTCTACTGTTTTATCAATTGTTTCCTTCAATTCAATGTTTGCGTTGTTTTCAATGATTTTGGTTAATATCTCATCCGTTTTCAACGATTTGCCCAACGATTGCGTCTAATTTATAAATTAATATTAAAACAATTTAAACACTCTTTCACATCCCTCCATTCTAGGACATTTAAAAAGAGATCTACAAGTTTAAGTGTACGGTTATACTACAACATGGTGAATTTAACATGAAAAACGCTATGGGAAAATGCGTTTAAATGGATTTTTGAGATACTACAGCTTACATCTTTGATATATATTTAAGCAATGCTAACACTATATGATACTTTGTGCCACAAACTGAGTTGTGGTTAAGCTATGACATACGGTTTGATCTAGGGACACATTAATTTTTTGCATTAACTTGAACATCTTTTCAATTTTAGGTTGTAAATATTATTTTTCTCGTGGAATTTATATTTAAATTGGTCGACATTAAAATTGCTGGTTAAATAAAGAAATTATTTGATTAAATGACTTTAAATTAATGTGAATAAATTGAATATATTTTTTTGTGTATTCCTACGATATCAAAATAATTAGTTTCATATTAACTATATGTAATAAATTGTTATTTCTCACTCAAGTAATGTGATTTAGCAATAGATTTTATGTGAATATTATCATCATTATGACTGCGTAGCTATAATTTTGTTTGCTGTAATGATACGTAAAAATGCTGCTAGATATGTAACGATATGCACTCACCTCATTTGTTTCCCCAAAAATAACTTTGTCAATAGTGTCTGTAATATTGTAGTAATCGACGGGCAGCATAACCAGCTTCACATATTGATGTCCATCTTATAATAATAAACAAAATAGTTTACGTAAATTATCAGAATATTAAATAAATATAATTATAAAACTTACAATTACAACAGCCACTTATATAATTTTCCAAATCTGCCCTGAATACATTGTTCGCTACGGACACCTTATCGTGGAACCAAAATTCGAAAGCTTTATTGCCATTAGCGATATACTTGTCAAAGTTTTTAAATTTTCCAGCGCGCGTAAACCAGGTCAGATTGAGTGCATTCAAATCATCAGTCGGTCGACCAATATGCTTAAAGTCATAGTATATGTGTTCGTAAAGACCAGTTCTCCTGCCATCTTGGTCAATGATCTCATATTCAGAAATGTCCACCCATGCTAATAATGGGCGCACATTAATGATTGTTACAATAATTAATACCAATAGATTATAATGCATTTTTCGTTAATTTATAATGAATGAATTATAGATTTATTAAAAATTATACAATAATTTTAGATTGAAATATCATTTGTAAATTCACTACTGAGTGAATGCAAAATAATATTACATAAATATTGCCTTTCATTTTATACAAAATGTGTTAACAAAAACTGTATATATAAACTGAGTATATCACCATGATAGATAACAATAATTTATTAGTAATGAATTATTATTATTTATTACCAATAAATTTATAAACTCATTATTTCTATTTCATTAAAAATACTAATTTTATTTTATTCTTCTATTATAATATATATTATATTTTATCATCTGAATTGTGGTTAGCACATAGAATTTCTGTGTGAAACTTGTTTTCAATTACTATGTGATTTGAATGCGCACAAAAAACACAAATTTTCATAAATCCACTCACTTTAATGATAAGGAATAATAATTTATTGCTGGTTTAAAAATTCGAAATTTTGGGTTTATAGACGTTATTTTTGATATAAGAAGTCAGTCATATTGACTATATCATCACTAAAACTTTCAAATTTGATTTGATGTATTATTTGAATTTTTAGACCGAATACTTTAGGAAATATTCGAGTATACTTTTGTAGGGTCCATTTATGTACACCCAGTACTTATTGGCAATAAATTATTATTATTTATTACCAATAAATTATTATTCATTATCATTAAAGTGAGTGGATTAAGGAAAATCCGTGTTTTTTGTGTGCATTTAAATCATATAATAATTGAAAACAAGGTTCACACAGAAATGCTACGCGATAACTACAATTTGGGTGATACTCAAAGAATAAGATAACATTACTATTTTTAATGAATTAGTTATGATGAGTTTTGTTAATTTATTTGTAATAAATTATTGTTATCTAAAGTGGTGATATACTAAGTTTATGTATAAATACATTTTGTCTAAAATAATAAGCAATATTTATATAAATACAGTAATGAATTTACAAATTATATTTCAATATAAAATTATTGTTCAATTTATAATAATTATATAATTGCTATCATTTATTATAAATTAATGAAAAATGCGTTATTACATTTTGATATTAATTATTGTAACAATCATAAATGTACGTCCATTATTAGCATGGGTGGACATTTCTGAATATGAGATCAAGTTCAAAGATAACACGGGACCTGGACCTGGACACTTTCTTTACGAACACATATACTATGACGTGAAATATCAAAGTAAACCTACAAATGATTTGAATGCACACAGTCTGACCCGGTTTACGCGCACGTGGTCAAATGACAGATGGCAGCATTATATAGCTAATGGCGATAAATCGTTGGAATTTTGGTTCCACACGGGAAAATACATATCAAACAATGTATTTGAAGCATCTATCGAATATGACACAGGACATGGCTGTAAGTTTTATAATTATATTTCTATTTATTATAATTGATTTAATAATTTGATTTTATTACAATGGTTCATATGATAATTATTTGCCTGGCATTTCTGGCGCATTTTTAGATATATGAAAAATTATCATTATTTAGCTAAACATTCATAGGCACCAAAAACCAAGTTTAATCACAATTGGTTAATTGGTCTCTATATTGGAATTTTAACTACAATTCAGTATGAATAATGTGGTTTATAGGATCGGTCGGCTGCCCCTCACTCTCTTCCATCCCCCGCTTTATGGGAAATTAACATGGGATTACAGCATAAGTCTATGGCTATACTTTAACATGGGTAATGCTTAGTCTATGGCATAGGAATAACATGGGTAATGCTATGTCTATGGAAGAAATGTTATTTCAATGGGATAATGCTTTTTCCATACTAAATGAATCTGACATAATAAATCAAACTAATCGTTGTCAAAAACATTTAAAATTCTCAAAATAACAATAGTGACAGTATTCTAACAAACGTATTTAAAAATTTAAAATCATTAATGCATTTCCCGAATTGTGGTTAACCTATAACATCGCTGTAAACCTTGATTAGAATGTCAGTTAGAATTAGTTTGACAAATTTGCATCATTTGGTTAAAAATTATAATATTTTCAATGTAAAAATATTTACACTAAATTCATGTTTGAAGCATCTTATTGACTATTATTACAGGGAAATCTGATCAAGTAAAACTAGCCATGCTACCTAGCGAATACTACAATATTATAGACACTATTGACGAAGTTGTTTTTGGGGAAACAAATGAGGTGAGTGTATATTTTTACATATCTACCAAACATTTTACATGTCATTACAGCAAGCAAAATTATAGCTATGCATGCATAGTGATAGCTCGTTCACATAAAATATATTGTTAAATCATATGCTTGAATGAGTGCACAATTTATTACATATAGTTAATTAATTCCCTATTTATTAAGACCAAGATTGTATTGATATAATACATAGAGTTAGCATTGCTTATATTAAATTTATATAAAAAATTTAAGCTGTAATATCATAGAAACCCGTGTAAATAGGGAATGCGTCTCTCATGTTATGTTCAACATGTTTAAGTATAGCCATAGACTTAAATTTAAATCTCTTTTTAAATCCATATAAAACTGTTATAAATAATTTTATAAATTAGACGCAATCGTTGGGCAAATCGTTGAAAACGGATGAAATATTAACCAAAATCATTGAAAACAACGCCGACATTGAGTTGAAGGAAACGATTGACAAAACAGTGGAAACCATACGTAAAACCGAAATATCAGTTCATCACAGCATTGAAACGTTTAGAGAAACTAATAAACGGACAAAATTTTCAACAAGTTTTGGGTTAGCATTTTTGAGTCTATTTTCATGGAATATAGGCTATGAAATTGAGAACCAATTCAAGTCGGGTTTCCGAGAGTTGTCCGAAACCAACAAATCTTACAGCGATTTCCGGCGCCAATTGTTTTCATTGAAAACCGAGATTAATGTCAAACCCTTTACTAATATATCGATTAAAGGTTTATTGAAAAGCGTGAAGGATATGGAACTAGACTTCACAGCTGTCCACAAATTCACCGGTACTGACCCGAGAAGTGCGGAACCGTTGGACGGATTGACACTGTTTTTGTTGAGTGGAAAACAACACAACAGATATGGCATTACTATAGACAACGACTCACTTGTGGTCAATCAAAAGGGCTTATATCGGGGTTCGTTTGGTATCGAAGCCTACACTCATATAAAACAACTAAAACTAGATAGAAATCAACCTGTTTATGCCGTGTTAAATGATGAATATTAATTCACTAAAAACATTTGATTAAAAGTATTTGTTTTTTGTAACAATTGTTGGTTAAAATTGTTATAATTGTTTGAAATGTTGTTTTATTTTTAATTTCTGTTTTAATAGTTTAAATAAATTATAAAAGTTTAGCAAATACACTACATAAAGCTACTGGCATATTTTAATCATGTAAAATTGTAATTATTTTGTTAAAATTAAAATTTTTTAAGTTTTAATTTGTCAAAAATATTTTCGTTAGTGTAAACATGCATATTAAATAATTTATAAACTATAATCTAGCCACAATAAAGCAATACTAGTAATTACCACAATTATTTTAAAAATATTTTCATAAAGTTACTTAATAAAAACTTCTCGCCAGCTAATTGTAAATATAAGCCACCCTCCCACAAACCTACCCCTCTCTGAGCGGCCATTTGAACCCATGATCACCAATTGGCGTACGGGCACAATCACGTGGTCAATTTGCTCAGACATCGGGCCCATAAAGTAGTATAGGGTTAACTCAACCACACTATTAATGGTCACATTGACGCCATCGACCGCCTTATAATCCCAGACCGGTTCCCACGTGTCGGACCGGCTGGGCGTACCACCCATGACCTCGTTGTCCACCGACACCTCCACATAGACTGAGGTGATGGTATCGCCGGTGCTCTCGTGGTCGGGACCAAAGTCGGGAAAGTCTATACTGTAATCGCTTTCATTTGTGAGGAGAGTTTGTGTAATAATGCGGTAAATGTGAGCCCGATTTACCACGACTGAAACGATGTAATAACTAGGTGTTGGTTTTGTTTGCTCAGCCCCCTGAGCACCTGTAGCTGGGAAATAGAAAATGAGTTATAAGATTTGATTATATGTATAGTTTACCTGTCAAGTTGGTTATGGTAAATTGGGTGTTGCTGTTGTCGGTGCTGGTGCTCAAGTGGTACACATCGTTAGGCTTATCATCGGTGTAGACATGGCTTAGATATATGACAAACACCACCACCAGTAGCACCGATACCACCAAGTACATCCAGTGCTTAAACTCGATGTGTTTTCTGATAAAAGTTAGCATTTTTTAATTATAAATTTTTACTTTTTAATTAATGTGTATTGTTTTCTTAGCTTAATATCAATAATAGTGTTTTGTTTTAATAATGTATAAATGAGTTTTTTTTTGTGAAGGTAAATGTTGGCTCATGTTCAATTGGATAAATTTGATATTGTTGTATATTGTTATGTTTATACCTGCAAATATTTTATGTATTACAGTATATCAATTAATTATTATTTTCATTAATACTGTGTTACAATTTACATCTGAATATCATATTTAATTTAATGTTAATTTGTTAAATAATATCTATAAATTACATTGTTTTAAATGTAAGATTTTAGAAATTTATTTCAAGTAATTGTTTTAATAATCTAATTACACAGTATATAATTACTATGTTATATAAATTATATAATTATTATTTTATAGTAGTTTTATAATTATTTAGGGTAAATATTGTAGTACAATATCTCACATGTAATTAAATGCAGAATATTCTGGGTAATGAATCATAAACAATTTTCATTTTTATCACATAATATAAAATACTGTGATAACTTATCACTGATAAGTTATAAAATTATAGATACATTTTTATCTATAAGTTAGCATAATGTAAAATAAAATATTTTACATTCGAGAGAGAGAGAGAGAGAGAGAGAGAGAGAGAAAGAGAGTCATCAATGATTTCATTGCCAGTCCTGCCAAACGCCGGGCGCTTCATCTATATCCACCGCACATGTGATTGAGAAAGACATTACTATTAAGACAATAAATCTCTCTCTCTCTC